CCCCCCGTAGCTGCCTCCATGCAAAAGGAATTCCTTCTGGAAAGACGTTCCCCTCCTCCGCACCTTTGCAAAAGAAGAGGGGGGAGGTCCGCTTCCTTGGGGCTGAGAGAGCTCTTGACAGAAACGGGGGACCCTCTTCGCCAGGAAGTGGGGGTTTCCCCCCAACCAGTGTTCCCTCTAAGCTGAGTTAGTGTGAGGTAGCTCAGAGTTTTTGAGCCTCCGGCTCAGGAAGAAGAGAGGGCCCCAGGCTCAGGAAGAAGGGACGGCTCCAGAGCAAAATACTTGAAGCAGTAGCCAAATCACTCGCTGGCAACTTTAATGCCAGCAGCTCACAAATTAGCATTTTTGCTCACAAGACTCCACAGCTCAGACCCAGCATTGGTCCCGGGCCCAGTGTTCCGTCTAGGCTGAGTTAGTGTGAGCTAGCTCACAGTTTTTGGGCCTCCGGCTCAGGAAGGGACGGCTCCAGAGTAAAATATTTGAAGCAGTAGACCACTTGCTCGCAACTTTAATGCCAGCAGCTCACAAATTAGCATTTTTGCTCACAAGACTCCACAGCTCAGACGGAGCATTGGTCCCGGGCCCAGTGTTCCGTCTAGGCTGAGTTAGTGTGAGCTAGCTCACAGTTTTTGGGCCTCCAGAGTAAACTACTTAAGAACATGAGGCGCCAATGTTGGATCAGGCCAAAGGCCCATCTGTTACCTGTGAGTGACCGGACACGAGTCAAGCCGGAGACATCACATGGAGGCTCCAACAAGTACAGTGTTTATTGAAGCGTGGTTTGCAAAGCTCTGGAGGGCAGTCCCCCTTTGTCTCCAGAGGCTGTGGCGCAGCACAAAACCCTTTATACCCCCTAACTGGCTGAGGTCACCAGTTGGTAACCTCCCTCGCAATCTACCTTCCCCAATCAGAGTTCTCCCCCCCTCCCATGCCCCATACCTGTGCAGTCCTCGTGTTCATCCTGGCATTTTTCTATATCTTCATTTCTGTTTAGCCAGCTTCAAGCCAAATTTAGCAGTGTAAGCTATCTAGGTTTAGCGTGCAGCATTCTAAAAACGTCTATATCTCAGGAGAGATTCTGAACATTCCTGTTACACCCTTCCCCTTTCACATCCAGTCCAACACTCTGTATCACACAGTGGCCAGAAATGCCATCAGAAGGTCCACCAGTGGGGCCAGGACAATAAAAGCCCTCCCACTGTTGACCCCCCCCCCAAGCACCAAGATGACAGAGCATCACTTGCTCCAGAGCTCCTATCTATACCTGCTCCATATGCTTATCAAATTCCCTTTTGAAGCCGTCCATGCTTGTAGCCGCCACCACTTCCTGTGGCAGTGAATTCCAAGTGTTAATCACTCTTTGGGCGAAGAAGTCCTTCCTTTTATCCGTTCTAACCTGACCGCTCAGCAATTTCATGGAGTACCCACGAATTCTTGTATTGTGAGAAAGGGAGAAAAGTACCTCTTTCTCTACCTACCTGCTCTATCCCATGCATAATCTTATAAACCTCGATCATGTCACCCCTCAGTCATCATTTCTCCAAGCTAAATAGCCCCAAGCGCTTTAACCTTTCCTCATAGGGAAAGTGTTCCGACCCTTTTATCACTCGAGTTGCCCTTTTCTACACTTTTTCCAAAGCTATAATATCCTTTTTGAGGTGTGGTGACCAGAACTGCACACAATATTCCAAATGAGGTCGCACCATTGATTTACATAGGGGCATTATGATATTGGCTGATCTGTTTTTACTGGATGCGGTAGCCAAATCACTTGCTCGCAACTTTAATGCCAGCAGCTCACAAAGTAGCATTTTTGCTCACAAGACTCCATAGCTCAGAGGAAGCATTGGCCCCTGGCCCAGTGTTCCCTCTAGGCTGAGTTAGTGTGAGCTAGCTCACAGTTTTTTAGCCTCCGGCTCAGGAAGGAATGGCTCCAGAGTAAACTACTTGATGTGGTAGCCAAATTGCTCACTCGCAACTTTAATGCCAGCAGCTCACAAATCAGCATTTTTGCTTACGAGACTCCACAGCTCAGAGGGAGCATTGGTCCCGGGCCCAGTGTTCCCTCTAAGCTGAGTTAGTGTGAGCTAGCTCAAAGTTTTTGAGCCTCCGGCTCAGGAAGGTATGGCTCCAGAGCAAACAAATCTCACAAAGTAGCATTTTTGCTCACAAGAATCCACAGCTCAGAGGGAGCATTGGTCCCGGGCCCAGTGTTCCCTCTAAGCTGAGTTAGTGTGAGCTAGCTCACAGTTTTTGAGCCTCCGGCTCAAGAAGGGATGGCTCCAGAGAAAACGCAACAGTGGCCTCAGGATTGAAAAAGGTCAGTATACATTCCAATCCCAAAGAAGGGCAATGCCAAGGAATGTTCAAACTATCGTACAATTGCACTCATATCTCCCGCTAGCAAGGTCATGCTCAAGATCCTACAAGCTAGGCTTTAACAGTACAATGTTCAAACTATCGTACAATTGCACTCATATCTCCCGCTAGCAAGGTCATGCTCAAGATCCTACAAGCTAGGCTTTAACAGTACGTGGATAGAGAACTGCCAGAAGTACAAGCTGGGTTTCGAAGAGGTAGAGGAACTAGAGATCAAATTGCTAACATTCGCTGGATTATGGGGAAAGCACGAGAGTACCAGAAAAACATCTACTTCTGCTTCATTGACTATGCTAAAGCCTTTGACTGTGTGGATCACAACAAACTATGGCAGGTCCTTA